GTAAGAGCCAAAAGAGCGCAGTCATTGGCAGCCATCTTCACTGCATCGACCAGAATACCACCATTCGTAGCGAAATTCCTATTCGCGTTTTGACGCTGAAACGGGAGCTTCGTCCGAAAGGTTTTCCTGAGGCTTTCTTTCTCAGGGTTTTGAAACGCTTTGCTTTCCTCAAAGATCGAATCTGGAAGGTAACGATGGACTTGTTAGAATCCTTGGTGTAACTCAAGCATTAGGATTTTATGTGTTTTTGATTTGATTTACTCCCCGTCCCTTGACTCAGCTTGATTCATCGGACAGGGGCTATTGTCGTTGGCCAACCAGGTTACGTATAGGGACTGTCTGGCCTGGTATCTGTTAATTTTGTCTGAACTGGGTCTGTCCTTTTCTGTATGTTGYGGATTTTCTGTTTTTATTCGTGACCAGCTTTTGTCGTTTTGTYCMKWGTAGACTRCTGYTCYTCTTTTCGTAGCTTTTCGGAGGAATATGGGCCCTGCGTCGTACCTGGTACGTCGGATAGCGCCCATTGTGTTTTGCTGTGTCCCCCTTTTTTTCCCTTTTTTTCCCACGAACCAGGGGTTACTTTCAGTATCCCGCTGGTCCTCCRTCCCARGTTTGTCTCTTCGTCCAAGTACTTAAGTTAGTTCGTCGAGGAKTTTTTCCTCATTCAGGACCGACRCGTCTGCAGCGTYGGCATTTCCGGAAATGCCGGTGTCGAGTAGCGCGGAGGCGGGAAAGTGGCGGAACGGTGTAGAGGGGAGGATTGGTGGAACCCCCTGATGAAGACTGCACGGCGGCAGTCGAAATGTGCGTCGGGGAGCCGTTTCTGATCTGATGTGCTTCATGTTTCTCTAAGTACTTTGACTTGTTTTTGTCTACATGTAACGATTACTTTGTGTACGTGTGACTTGTGTGCTTCATCATACCTATATCATCATCATCCTCAACGGGGAAGGGTCGTGGACCGTTTTTTTTTTTTTTTTCTCAAAATTTGGCAGATCCGGACCGAACGTCGGGAGTCCGGGCCGAATTCGGACCGTCTGGACGGCGGTCCGGACGTCCGGATCGTAGCCATGATTATTATGGTTGAATTACCTTAGGTTTTGTACCCAAATGACAGAAAGAAAACCCCTAAATCCTGAAGCCTAGTATATAGTAAATGGCAAAATGCCAATCAATTTGAATGAATGGAAATCCAATAGTACTATAATTGTTGAAATTTCACTGGCAGTAACTGCATTTGGGCCTGATCTGGTACCATTCCAGAATCTCAAAACGGGCCCTTCTTCTGTCCCTTGCTGCTCAGATGATGGACAACATTTCAATTGGCTGAAGGGCAAAACTATGCCACTTCAGTTTTGAAATCCCAAGGCTAGCCCTGTTCGTGGAGATTTGTGTCATCATTGTGCAAGAGATGCACCCAGCTATCTTCCTCTTGCAGGTGCATTCATTCTGCCAGGTCTACCGTCTTGCCCCGAACATAACACACCTCATCATGACTGTATCAGACTGGAAAAATATTTTTGTAAACGTTCATTATGACCGTGCGTTCTATTGGAGGGAAGACACTAGGGGCCTCGTTAGACCCTCCTTGGAAAATCCTTAGTAATTAGGATGAAGTCCTTGGAAAATTTTTCGGTTTTCGGCGTCTTCGTTACAGCACGTCCTAATTCAATGGGTCCCAAGGAAAACCCTTGGAGGTCTCCGGTATGCATACACGCGGCCGCGGGGGTGGATATTTGTCATCGTGCTGGGATGCCCGTGCATCCTTGGGCGTGGTCCAGTGGTGGCGACGGGGAGGCCTACCAGGCTGAAGAAAAAAAAAGGATGCCAGCATCCCGGTTCGAATTTCAAATTTTGAAACCTCCGTTGTGACGCATCCGCGGGGGAGGCGTCCTGGCGACTGGACTAGAGACTGGGGCGAAACGTATGTGCGGAGGAGTGATGGCGGCCATGGCTTAAAAGGAAGGCATTGGAACGTTGGGCGATGTAGCGTGTATGCGTAACGGTTCTCTACTGCGACTTTGCCTTCGTGTCGCGCATGCTCTTCGGGCCGTCACAGCTGAGCACAAACGTAACGCCTTCGTGAAACGTGGAGAGTGCGAGTGTGGTCCCCATCGTCGTGCAGAAGGTGCAGCGAGGGCGCCTGCGGGCGAACGAGTGGTGGGTGCTTGCGCATTGCAAGTCCTGATGATGGAGGGAGAGCTCCCGGGTAGTGCGAATGCATTAACGGCATTGGAGAGAAACACGGTGGTCGCAGTTGTGTCGGTCGTCGCAGCTGTGTCAGTCATCACCATGCATTATCACATTGAGAGAACGACAGCGCGTGAGGATGAGATTGTTCGTTCACAGGCAGAGGCAATTGATGCAACAAGTGATGGATGCACCCAATTGTGTGCCGTTATCGGAATCCATTGTGCAATTTTGTTGCGCCATGGCATCGAGTGTGATCCCACGGGCGACGCCGAGATGGTGGATGAGGAGAAGGATGGGAGGGACATGGGAGGATCTCCGGCAGGTTGACGACGCGGCAGAGGGTGACTACATGGAGAAGCTGCAGAGTGGAGTAGTCAGTGGCGTGCGCCAGCTGTCTGCTGGAGGTTTACCGCCTGTCCATCGTCGTCTTCCTCAACGTTTGTCATTTCCGTCTGCTGCCAGGACCCCGCACAACGACGCAGATGTGGAACAACACGACAAGGAGCAGGAGAAGAGTGGCCAGCAGCAGGAGCGGGAACCGCCAGAGGACGTCTGCCATGAATCGCAGCACGCGAGGCGTGTACCAAACAAAGCTTGCATCAATGCGCCCAGCAATAGTGGACAAAACACGATAGGCAGATGACTGCAATCGGCCGACAGTGCTTCAACATCGTTTGTAGAAAAATATAAAAAAATTGACTGTTGGACACCACGGCCGGCGACGCGCGCACGGAAAATCCTGCTTCGTGAAGCGCCTTGCAGCTGAAGAGCCACACCCACGCATTTATGGCCCAACGGTAACGGTGGAAGGCCGTTTGGGGCCCGTCGGGTATTGGAGGCCGGTGATGTCTGCCCAATGGACCACAAAGGACATGTGCACCAAAATCGACTCCAAATTTTCCTGTCGGCACACTCCGTCAATCGCAGCTCCTTTAACCCAAGGGACCTCGCGAGGACCCCTTGAATCAAAGGACGTTTTGGATGGGGATTCTGAGGAACCCAAGGAATCTCTCGGGAGCATTTTCACATTCATTCAATGAATTTGGTGAATTAGGACGTGGTGTAACGACGCCGATTTCCTAAAATCCGGATTTCCAAGGAGGGTCTAACAAGGCCCTAGGCTCAACATATCTGGTCCCAATGGGGCTATTTCTGCGTTCTTTTTTCTCCCCCTTCTGTATGTAGTGTGAGGAACGAGCCCTCAAGGCACCCTATCAGACGTCACATGTTCTGGGCTAAGCCCCCAGCAAGCCGAGTGCCCGCCCTAAGTGAAGGCGGGCATGAATATTCGTCAAAGGTCAAAATTCGACATTTCCATATGTGGGTATTCAGGCTCTCGCAGCACGCCAGTTGGTGGGGTAGACGCGTGAGCCTCACTAAGCTGCGTCATACAGTTGGCCTAGGCCTTGACAGTTGCGCCTGGGCACATACACACAAAGCAGGGCCGATACATTGGGAAGCAGGCCATCGGCCTTTGGAAAAACAGTACTGCCAACGTACCTACCTGGGAGCCCTGCACAGATGCAGCAAACAGCCCAAGTCCGGAGACTCAGGCCGTGCCCAACTGAAAAGGGCCCAGGCCCTCAACTGTGGTCTCGGGCCTGGGCGCAGGGTCTGAGGCCCAACCGGAAGCTACTGAAAGCTTCCAGCCAGGCCACATGCAGCATCCAGGAGGCTGCCACTTCCATAAAAGAAGTGAGGCAGCCCAGGCCAGGCATTCTGGCCAGTGCTGGCAATGCGGAAGTGCTGCTGTGCTCTCGCTTGATGCTGCGCTGCTGCCAAAGGCGATGACAGGGCTTGTAGTGGTGAGGACGGGCGCTGCAGGGCAGCGAGGCACAGGCAGCCATAGCCAGGCTGCTGGGCGCCAGGTGGTACAGCGGGCGATCTGGTGGTCTTCAGGGAAGGAGGCGAGTGTGGGGTAATCAAGGTCTGATTGAGGGTGACAAGATACATACCTGGTGCATGAAGAGAGGTCTGCTATGGAGTTGACAGTCATGTACATTGGTCTTCGAGAGTCGAAGTGAGCCTGTTGCGTGAACCAGCTGCAGGTAGGATAGTCGGGCAGAGTAGGTGGGGCGCTGGGCGCCAGACAGAGAGGAGCGACTTTGGATACTGTGTTGGTGTGGCCTACGGGCTTGAACATTGGCTCGTTACTTCATTGTATTGCTCTATATGGATGGTTTCTCCGTGCATTTTGTACTCTCTGCTTGGATACGACTACCTGGACATCTGTGTGATTTCGCAACTTGGTTTTCTGTATATCGTTCGCACTCATATTCCTTGCAGTAGGGTCTATGGGTTTGCTCCTGGCTCTGGGAATACTCACAAAGCCATGAACCTGATTCCGGTCAGATTCATCCAGGTCTGGCTGTAATTGCTGTCAGATGCATTTTGGAAAGTGCTAGTGTGAGGATGCCCTCAGTGATTGGCTCTCGGTGGCAGGTGTGCATCTTACTTTGTGGATATGCGCGACAAATGTAGGACGGAATCAACACCCCTGAACACAAATTTACATTTCCAAAATTTCATCAACTAATGATCAACATAAATCCATTACAAAAGTATCTACCATCCTGCAAAACCACAGCCTTAAAAAAAAAAAAAAGGTATCTACTGTCAAGGGAGAACTTAACCTTTTTTCGTATGTGCTTATGATGGATGGTCTTGCAGGAGCAACAACACTGTCAAGGGAGAACTTAACCTTTTTTCGTATGTGCTTATGATGGATGGTCTTGCAGGAGCAACAACAACCAGACAATGAGAACTTAACCTTTGTTCGTATGTGCTTATGATGGATGGTCTTGCAGGAGCAACAACAACCAGACAATGACCTTGGGAAGTCTATTTATCGTATGAACCCGACTTTCAAAGGTATATACAGAGTTGGGCCCATGATGACCAGTTTTTCCTTTAAATAACAGTAATGACCTGTTTCCTCAAAAATAAAATACGGACCTACTTCTTTCTTTCTTTTCTTTTTCTTTAAAGGCTTGTTCGCAGTACCATCCACCCTTCAACTCTTTTCAATGGGCACTCATGAAGAGAAGAGGGTTTTTTTAACTTTTTTATTTTTTATTTTTTTATTTTAAACGCCCCCACTTTTTTTTTTTAAACGCCCCCACCAGTGTTAGTGCTGCTGATAGGAGCAGACACCACTAACACCTGGGGAGAGGCTCCATCTATTGGTGGGGAGCATCACCTGCTGGAAAACGGGTCTAGCGTCCCATATACAGAAAATGAGAATATCTGTGTAAAGTAGTAGTAGTGTGGGAGTAGTGACCCTGAGGTCTGCCAGCATTGATTGCCCTGCAACCCAGGGGATTGACTGAGTAGGCCTAAATAGTGTCCTCTTCACCCTCAAAAGGAAGGCCCCAGAAAAAAACAGTCGAGGGCTGGTACTATTTAGCCTTGAGTCTACTTACTCCGAATCCTGCCAAGTGGCACAGATTGCTCAGCCAGCATTATTTACTCTGAATACTCGGACAACCATCGGGTACTATTTAGCCTTGCTTTAACTCCCTCCGAATCATGCTAAGTGGCCCAGATTGGCACAGATTGCTCTTGCCATCCCTGACTATCCCAACAGATCGTACTGACAAAAGGAACATTGACGGAGGGACGTATGGATGTTAGCGGAAAGACTCCCCGGGGGGCTCCAGGGAGGAATTCCGTGTGTAGAATTTTTATGTTCAGGACAGGATCTCTGCCAGGGAAAGGGCATGGGGTGGGAAAGGGTCAGGAAAATCCGAGGGAGGGCAAAGTGGGAATGAGGGTTCTATGTTTGTCCAGTCCTTAAAGGTTAAACGATAGTCCCTTATCTCATCCAGAACCTGTTGTCCCTCTCCCCTGTCCCCACTCCGTTCTACTTTTGCAATCCATCCTTCTCTCTCCCCTCCTACCCAGTCTGTGCAGAATGCTGTAATCCGTCTCCTGACATCACTTTTTTGTTGAAAGAGGTCTAACTGTGCTTTTGTGTTTAGCCACCTTTGTGTGAGTTCAAAATGAACCTGCTGCTGTATCTGTTCGGTGATCTCTGGCCCTTCCATTCCACCTTCTCCATGGCCAGAGTGCATCTCTGCCACCAAAGTGCCCATATCACCGCCCTCCTTCCAATTCTGAACATATTCTCTACAAAAGTCGTGGCTATCCCTGCCGGTGGCCAATGGCCGGCCAATATGGCTTGCCAAGACCAGGGCCAGGGGATTGCAGATTCCGTTTTTCTCCATATGCGGTCTCACCATCTCCATATAAATTGGGCAATCGGGCATTGCATGAAGATATGTTCAATGGTTTCCGCCTTCTTAGAGAATGGGAAAAGGTTGTGACACCGCCGACACCACGGAAGTAACAGACCTTTTTGTTCTAAATTAGTACGGTCGGTCAGCCAATCATTGGTTGGCAGACAGCGATGGGCAATCTGCCACTGAGAGAGGTGATTTTCGTGGGTTTAAATTTTTGTTCTTTGAACCTTTTAATCGGTGACAGGAAGGAGCGCTCCACATTTACGTGTCTGGCCCACCGGTCATTGACTATGTCTCTCAACCGCCTTTTGGGTCTGAGCATTTTGTAGGCCGATTTGACCAACAGCTGGTATAGGTTGATCTGGCCTCCCCCCTCTTCTGGGGGAGTTTCCATATCCATTCTGCTGGGTCCAGGGCCAGATCCTTGATTGATTTAGACGGCTGGAACACCACCCTTTGTCCTTTCTCTTCTAAAACTCTCACCCGGTACACAGATGTTTTCTCTTTCCATACAAAGGGGGTTGTATTGTCTTGGAGAGTGCCTGCTCTAGTAATGGAGTGGTACTCGACCAGGGCAGTTTGGGGTGAGACCATATGTATTTGGCCTATCCTTGGAGGGGACCCCACATCAGCAACCCAATTGCCCTCTTTTAAGGTGGGGCCATGTTTGAGGATTCGGTACCATGTCAGCGAGATAGCTTCAATCACGTTATCCAAAGACTCCTCCATATGGTGGCAGTACCGTAAGATTCCCTGCATCTGGTCTCCTGTTTTCTAGTCCCTTTTGTCATTGTCCCAAAGATCCCCAACCCTGAGCACCCCTCGCTTGACCCAGCTTTTCCAGGGCAAGGAAGAACTTGACATGACACAGCCACTCAAATTTGTCACCCATCGGTTTCCAAAAAGGGGTTGTCGGTAGACTTCCTCCCAACGGTTTGGGTAGATCCTGTCTGGGAGTGGAAGTCTGCGCCAAGTTTTGAGCAAGGATGACCAAAAGTTGTCCATTGTCTGGCCGCCGTCATTCAGCCCCTCCCTTCCTTGGGGGGGTTTGCGTGGGATTGACCAGAAACAGTCTTCCAGCCAGGTTAGAGGGTGAATTGTTTGGGGAGCTTCTGGGGCCAGTCGGGTCAAATGTTCCGGGGCTAATACACACCACGGGTGTTGGGGGGGGAAAATGAGTTTTTTAATCCATTTTAGCCGTAGCGCTCGTACTTGCACGACAGGGTCGATTATTCTCAGGCCTCCCCCGACCTTGGGTTGGATGATTGAATCCCACGCCACGCGGCTTATTACATTGCTCTGCTCGCCGTCTCCCATCCATAGGAAGGCTGCTGCCTTTTTCCTTAAACTTCTTAGAGTTGTTTTGCTCAGTGGCCATAGTAACTACTTGTACCATAATGTTGCGAAGACCACATTGTTAAGTACTAAGGCGCGGCCAAACAGAGATGTGTGCTTGTTTCTCCAGTTATTCAATTTTTGTTGTGTCGGGGCGCAGATCTATTCGTCATTCGAAGGTGGGCGTCCCTCAGTTGTCATAGATACCCCTAAGATTCTAACTGGGGCCTCTAGTGGCATCCATTTAATGTGTGGTGATTCAGGGGGGCGACCCCCTTGATAGTGAATCCACCATCCTTGAGTTTTGCTCCCCCAGTTGACTGTCATGTTGGAAACCTTGGCAAACTTTTCCATCATTTGCTGGATTTCCTCCATGTTGTTGTGTGTGGCTTCTACCATAATTGTGAGATCATCCGCAAATAGGGAGCATACAGGGATAGCCTCCTCCGGGATATGTGCGACCTGAATTCTAGTAAGATTTTTGTTTGCTTGAAGATTGGCAGGTAGTGCTTCCATAATGACCAAAAAAAGGAAGGGAGCAATCGGGTCCCCTTGACGGACGGAGCGCCCTAGATGCAAGGGTGGTGTCAAGCATCCATTGACTTGGATGCAGGTGGTTGCATTGCGGTGCAGGATCTGAACCCATCGTTTGAAGTCTGGCCCAAAATTAATTTTTTCCAGGCATCTGTCTGAAAGCAGCCAATCCACATGGTCATAGGCCTTTTCGAAATCAATAAAGACCAGAGCTGCGTTCTGACGAGAGTGCCTCGTGAGTTAGAGTACCTCATGGATTAGTAGAATATTCTCTTGTATATTTTTGTTCTCCATGAAGCCGGTTTGAGAGGGATGGATGATGTCTTCCAATACAGGGATCATACTGTTAGCTAAGGCTTTCGACAACATTTTGTATATCACTGTGAGAAGTGTGATTGGGCAGTAATTTCTAATGTCCATTTTATCTCCCTTTTTGTATAGGAGGGTCAATACCCCTTGCCCCACTCTTTCACGCATCTCACCCGTAAGCCATACTTCTTTATATAATTCCATGATGTCCTGGCTCAAAAAGAGGTTAATCAAGATAGCTCCAATTGTTTACCCAAATATATAAGAATCCAAAACCTTTTTCAACAAACTCATCTATCCATCCATAGAGCAAACACCAAAAAACAGAGCAACAATAATCTTTGCCAGGATTTCCACTTTACTTTTTTCATTGGTTCCACCATTGTAGTACTGTGTCTATTGCGAGGAATGAGCCCTCGCGGGGCCCTTGTCAAGCATGCATATGTTCTGGGCAGAGGCCCCCAATAAGCCAAGTGCCCGCCGTAAGTGAAGGCGGGCCTGGATATTCACTAAAGGCCAAAATTCAACATTTTTTTCATATGTGGGCAGGCTGTTGCAGCCCGTCAGTGGGTTGAATGGACGCGTGAGCCTCCCTAAGCTGCGGTGTACAGTTTGGCCCAGGCCTTGGCAGTTGTGCCTGGGCACATACACACAATGCAGGGCCGATACATCCCGAAGTGGCCACAGGCCTACGCAAAAGCAGCACTGTCGACGTACTTACCCCGGGTCCTGTGCAAATGCAGCAAACAGCCCAAGTCTGGAGACTCAGGCCGTGCCCAACTGTAAACGGCCCAGGCCCTCAACTGTAGCAGGGGGCCTGGGCACAGGCACTGGGGCCCAACCGGAAGCTACTGGAAGCTTCCAACCAGGCCACACGCAGCCAGGCAGAGGCTGCCACTTCCATATAGGAAGGAAGGCAGCGAGGGTCCAGCATTCTGGCCCACGCAGGCATGCGGTCACGCTGCTGCGCTGCTGCGTTAGAGGCTGCGTGCTGTGCTGAGGCCAGAGCGTGTGCGGGCGCGTGTGAGGTGAGGAGGGGCGCTGCTGGGCAGCGGAGCGCAAGCAGCCATAGCCGGGCTGCAGGGCGCTAGGGGGTGTGAGGACGATCGGTGGTCTTCAGGAAGGAGGCGAGTGTGGGTGGCCAGGGTCTGATGAGGGGAGACAAGATACGTACCTGGTACATGAGAGAGGTCGGCTATGGTGTTGACGTCATGTACATTGGTCTTCGAGATTCGAAGTGAGCCTGTTGCGAGAATGCTGATGTAGGTAGGATAGTCGAGTCGTGTAGGCTGGGCGCTGGGCGCCAGACAGAGAGGAGCGACTTTGGATACTGTGTTGGTGTGGCCTGAGGGCTTGAACATTGGCTCATTACTTCATTGTATTGCTCTTATTTGGATGGAATCTCGGTGCATTTGTGCTCTCTGCTTGTACACGACTACTTGGACATCTGTG